CCCGAAGCTCTTTTTTTGCTTACGTGCTCACAGCGTTTAGAGGAAAGGCAACGTGCTGATGCGGCGCGGTCTACGCGTCCGTGGACTCGCTTTGTTTCCTGTCCTCGCTCTTCACTTCGAGACCTCGCTCCCTCGACAGGAGGACTACAATGTTAAAGTTGCGGCTAGTTGCATGTTGCTGCCAAGCCCCAAACCCTACACCCTGCCAGGACCATAACTCGATCTGCACGCCAGCCTTCATAGCTTCTGCGTCCTTGAACACCCTACGCAAAACCCAAAACCCGAGAATAAGTTAAAATACAACTAGTTAATTGGTTTCAAAAATATAACCCTAGACGCGTAACAAGAATAATCTTTTCGGAAAGGACCGCTTGCATTTCCTTCTCGGACCAGTGCAAGTCCTGCTGGATTGGCTTCGATTGCTTTTCATGGTCTTGACCCTGGACCGCGTCAACCTGCTAGATGACATTGCGCTTCTATCTTCCTTGCTGATGACGCTACAGGACCATGTGCGCGCCGGACTTGCCGCAAGCATGCTGCCAGTCTTGCGGGATCCGCAGCTCGAGCGCCAGCTTCCATGTCAGCACAGCGTGGTGAACAACGTTTTGCGCTGCTGTGGTGACGACAGTGACCGCCTCTTCCAGGTCTTGACGGAGGNNCTTGGGTCTGGAGAAGGCTCGGGGTGGCAATGCTCTTGGCTCCTGCTATAGTATGCCCAAACCTGCCGGCCCAAAACCTCAGCCCAATCATGCTTGTGAGTCTTCCACCCACAAAATGTCTGCCCAGTTGGGCGGCTACATGGATGTGTTCGCGCCGAACGCAGATTTCGCGGCGCTGTGGTCTCCTTTGCAGGCCGCTTCGCAAGATGTCCTTGCGATTGCACATCTGCGTCTCGCTGACAGCCACTGGGAGTTCTTGTGACGACAACCGCTTGGAAGCGTAAAACGTGTGGCACTATGTTCGTTCCAGACTTTGCTCCCCTGCAAAAACCTTCACTAAAGAAACATAATCTACGTGAAATCCTCGCTCTGTTGTACTGATAGGGTGGAATCTACGTGTGTTAGGTCATAGTCATAAGTGTATGTTAAGTCTACAGTAAGTATGCATTAAGTCTCTATAACTATGGTTAGAAGACTAGCTATAACACAGCGAGGATTTCAA